TGTAATAAAATTATACAGCAATTTAATATCAACATGTATATACGCAACAAATGCAATTATGTTACTGTTTATTAAGTAAAATACAGGACTCTTGTTATTAAATAGAATTGTTAGATTAACAGAGCAATAAGAATCGAATAAAAGTATAAAATTTAGAATAAATAATTAGAGAGTTACATGTATGAGGGTAGTTCGAAAAGTTCTCGGCCTGACAAAGAAAACATGATTTGTGGCAAATTTTTTTTTTTGACATAGTCCCCTTGTAAGTTAGTACACTTAACGATATTCCAACTTCTTTAGACTTTCAATATAATACAATTTATCTAACCTTTCAAAATAAGCGTTTGTCTCAGTGATGACTTCCGTATTTGAAGTGTATCTTTTTCCAGTGAGCCATTTCTTCAGATTCAGGCACAAAAAATCACTAGAGGTTAAATCTGATGAGTATGAAATATATAAAACTCCTAAAAAACGGAAAAAAACTTATTGCGAAAAATATTACCTCAAGGGTTCGAACCTTCTTCTTATAATGTTTATACACACGGCCTAAATAACGCGGCCTAATCTCTCTATACATATCGATTATTGCGAGGAATATTTCCGAAGCCTCAGTGGCTAAGACACTCTTCCCGGCAAGTTGAGAGGTCCCAAGTTCGAATTCTGGCTGAGATAATATTTTTCGCAATAAGTTTCTTTCCGTTTAGGGGTTTTATTTAGAGGGAGTTATTAAAATGTTTCATAATGATTGTGTTGAAAGTCCGATAATTATCGGCGCGCAATCATAAACAAAAAATTGATTAAATATATTCGTAACATCTAACTTTGATCGCGTTTTACGTTCTTTACTTTATTCGATTTATTCATACACGGTCGTTCTTCTTATAATGTTAAGAAAAAAAATTACAAGCTTCATAATTTATAAATATTCACGTAACATGTTTCGGCTACAAGATTAAGCCATCTTCAGATGTATGATGGTTAAAAATTTTAAAAAGTTTGTTTATTATAATATGTAAATATCAAAACAGTATAATAGTTTCACATAACCTGCTTATATTATATATATGTACAGAGTGAGTCATTTTAAGTGAAATATCTCAAAAAATATAAAAAAAATGTTTTAAACAAAAATTGTTCAATTACTAGGGGGAAAAAAGTGATGACTTTGATCTAAAGAAGACGTTCTTAAAGTCAAAGTTACCTAAAATTTTTTAAACTGAAATCATAATTTTTTATTTCATATAGCTAACATCAAGGCCTTTTCAAAATACTATAATAAAATATTTTTTCATTGGTCGACATAATGTTCTGAATAAAGTTTTTATATATAATCTTGGTCTCCAGAGTAATTTATAGAGTCTTAATATAATAAAATATTTTTTCATTGAATACTTTACAAGTTATGGGGCTTGAAAGTTAATAAATCAACATGGGAAACGCTCCGTTTGACTATGTTAATGTTAATCATCCGCTAAGCAATTGTTATAACTGATATTATTTTAAATGGAAACCTCTATTTTTGATTCCAGAAATGAAAAAAGCAGAAAATTTTACGTTCAGATAAATTATCATGGAGTCGAATTGCGTTGACTTGTTAATTTTCAAGCTCCATAATTTGTAAAGTATTCAATGAAAAAATATTTTATTATATAGTTGTTAAGGCTCTATAAATTATTCTGAAGACCAAGATTATATATAAAGACTTTATTCAGAACATTGTGTCGACCATATTAACAAAAGTAAAGAGTAGAATAAATAAGTAAGTAAGATAGACAAAATAAATCTCACACAAATACGCGTCTACGCGTGATACGGATTACTAAAGCCATCTATTGGAAAAATAATGAATTTCTTTTTACTACACCTAATATAATAATTATCACAATATGTAAAAATTAATTGTTTAAAAATTTTGAAACATTTTACAATTATTTATGACATTTATAATATTTATAAGAATGAAAATGTTTACATTAACGTAATTATAAAATTTATTATATATGATGTAATGTGTTTAAATGTATATATTAAATATATATATTTATGATATGATGATTAATATTGTATAAAACATTTACATCAAGTATATAATTAAATGCAATATATTATGTAATGATGCATTTTTACAATCATTATGTAATAACTTTTTCGACATACAACAAAATCCAAGGAAATGTCTGATATTGATAAACTTTGAATGATGAAAATAAAGGACACGTAATTTTTTTATAATGGTCCGTATTATAATGGATGTATTTATAATGGTATTTTATAATCGTATTTTTAGTGAGTGCAATATCCCTTTGAAGAAAATCGGTCATTGTTTTTCAAGAGAAATATCATCGAAACTATAAAAAATAGAAAAATGTTTGAAATAAAAATTGAAAGGTTTTAAGAGTCCATAATAATTATAATTTAAATAATTTTTCAATATTTATTTTTTCTAAATATTTTTCTAAATTTTTCTATTTACACAGGTTTTTTGAAATTATTACTATAAAGTACTTTTCAAATCATTTAGTTTTTTTAAGCATTTAAAACTTTTTTTTCCTAAAATGATTTTTCGTAAGATGAAATCACATGTTCGATTTTTTGAATGATAAGCATGCATGCGATCATGCCTGCTCTGATGCATGCTAGAATATGTTCATGTTTTGAGCGGTGTATACTGTATATATGCATGATTTCTATACATGATTTTTATGCATGATTCGTGCTTATTTCTTTGCATGCACCAATCAAAAAATTGAAAATGATTACGTAATTGGACGATCGACAGCATCTTCAGAATAGAAACAATTGTGCTAATTTCGTAGTTATCTATCAAACGTCAGATTTCAAGTTAGAAAATATCATGGAATAAAGATACAAACAAAAAACTAATAGAAGCTTATAAAAACGAAGCTACATTATACTGTTAAAATCTAAATTATCATAATAAGCGTTTACGCAAAGCTCTAAAACGAATAAATAATGAAGTACAAAAAGTACATCTAAACATAGAAATTATGTATAAATAAATGGAGGAAAATATAATTAAATTGTATTCCTTAAGAAATAGTTTCAATACCGAAAATAAAAAAGAAAGGAATTCAAGAAAAGCGGAAACGAGACAAATGATATAAATATTCTATTCTTAATTTAATCTTTTATAATTTCACTCTCGCATTCCACTCTTATCCTTGCCTGCATTATATTCACAAATGTAATAATAACACATTTTTCTTCTCTAATTTTAAACATTATGTTTTTCTTGATACTGCCATTAAAATGGTATCTGTTATTTGTTTGTCTCATTCTTTTTTATTTTTAATTTGTTTTATTATTGACGCTACAAACTCCATGTTCAAGTCAATCGGAACCTTTTTGTGTTCCTTCACTGAAGATAAGAGAATTACGGACTTATATTTAAAGACGGAACTATTTTTTCAATAGAGCAATCATTTTCAATTAAAGTCCTTCGACATTTCGAGGAATTCGTATTGGAGACAAAATTCCATAACAACGATGAAGTTTTGGCTGGAAATTTGTCAGACGAATTTTGAGACTGTGATTCCATTTTTTCCCATTGTGTATTTTCGTTTAGAGATTTCTGTGAATTCTGATTTGTCAATACATCTTCAAAAATTTCATCATCTATATTTTCACTTATCATTTCTGAAGTGTTATCCAGCAAAATGCTTGAAACACAGTCATCATTCTAAAACGAATGATAAAGAATAAACATGAAGCTTATACCATTGAATATGTTAATATTTACGTTAATATTTTGCCTGATTGTTATATTACTTGATTTGTATTCTTGCTTCCACTTATTCTTGTGGAGATATTTTTTTGTGAAACAGAAAATGTTCTTCTAAAAATGTGAGCATCTCAAAATACTAAAAATTATATTTTGAATTATAAATTTAAAATAGAAAGGGTAAGATTAGATTAGAATGTGCGAAAGTGAAATTATAAAAGATTAAATTAAGAATAGAATATTTACGTCATCTGTCCCGCTTTCGACTTTCATGGATTCTTTTTTTTTTATTTTCGGTATTGAAACTATTTCTTAAGGAATATAATTTATTTACATAATCCTTAATGTTTGTGTTTGGACATATTTTTTGTATTTCCTTATTTAATCATTTTAGAGCTCCGTTGCATAAATGTTTATATAATTTGGATTTTTAATAGCATATAATTTCACTTTTATACGTTTCCATTAATATTGTTATTTGATAATATTTTTAAGACTTCCATGGGCTTTCTATAAAGATTATGTGTTTTGCGAGTTTCCTCCGTGTCCAGATCCATTTTTAGAATGTCAACGTTTCGTGAATCTTCAGTCCACTCCATTAGGGCGAGGAGCAGCCTGATACCAAGAATGGATCTGGACACGGAGGAAACCCGTGAAACGCATAATCTTTATACTATTATTTGGTCTTTATTCCATGATATTTTCAAACTCGAAATTTGACATTTGGTAGATAACTACGAAATTAGCACAATTGTTTCTGAAGATGCTGTCGATCATCTTCTCGATCATCTGCTCGATTATTATCTGCGTGATCATTTTCAATCTTTCGATTGGTGTACGCAAGGAAACAAGCACGAAATCATGTATAAAAATCATGTACAGAAATTATGCGTGTCAGTATGCACTGCTCAATGCATGAACGTATTCTAGCATGCATCAGAGTAGATATAACTACGTGTATGTATACATCATTCAAGAAATCAAGCATCGTGATTCTTTACAGTTTCGACGATATGCGCTTCAAATGAAAAAAACCGTTTTTTTTTAAAGAGGTGACATTGTACCCTTAAATATGCGATTGGACCCTTACAAAAAAATGTGTTCCTCATTTTTGTCTAGAAAATAACATTTAATGCTCATCAAAATCAGGAAGGAACATTTCCATGGATTTCTTTGTCAATTTAGTTCGCTCTACTTGCATCGAGCTCTTTGTGAATAATTAGATGCACTTTGTAATATATATATTTAAAATTTTCAGTCCAGAGGAATTCGAACAACGCATAGATTCGGAGCTAGCTGCACTGGATTCATTACCTATCGAAGAATGCCGACTTCGACGATTTAGCGTGATCTCGGAGGATTTGCTGGAGTTTTCGGATAACTTAATCGACTGCGACGATATGCCAGATATACGTCAAAATGTTTCGGAAACAAACAATGAGAAACAATCGAATAATTCATCAACAATGACCGATAAGTTACGCAGGAAAATTAGCGCCGAACCAAAATGCTCTTTAAAAAGCTTTGCATCTAAAGTACAAGAAAACACGGAAAGAGATCTAAGCCAGAATCCAATGACAATTAGTTCTTGTAGATCAGAAGACTGGAACAAGATGAATTCCTCGATCAGAGTTCAAATTCCATCTACAACAATACAGCAGATACCACTAAATTATTCTTCACAAACAAATGTAGAAGAAATCCCTTCCAAATACAAAACTTTTCATTGTGAGGAACCTTTGGTACCTATTGGCTCAAACAACAATTTTCATTTGACTACTATTCCAAAAGCATACTGTTTATCCAACGAAAAAACATCGAGTTGTGACATCGTGAGTGATTTGTTACGACAATCGGACCATGTTTCTTGCGAAGATTTATTAGAATTTGCTTGTGATGGGCCAAATACACGAAGAACTCGCGGACCTCGAAACGGAGAACAATCTGATGAAGTACGAATCATGCTGAAGGTGTTGCATGAACAGTCAACCCCAGAATCCTGCATTGCTGCATTGAATGTCACGGAATGGGACGTTCTAGCTGCAATTAAATTGGAGCGGCTTCAAGGATTATTGAAAAAGGAAAATAGTTTTGTCGGTCTCGAGGATTGCAAAGTGATACTGAACCAGTGTGGTGGTGATGTCGTGAAAGCGGCTGCGCTATTGCGAAACATGGACGATGCTGCCGCGGTTTAGTTTAGATTCACAAAGGATATATAAGGATTGATTGAAAAGTTCTCTTTGTAATATCTTCTATTCTTAATGACTTTATAATATAAATATTGGAAATATTTTTCGTAAAAATACTTTCTTAATATTGCTCCAAAATTTGTGAAAAATATATGTCCATTTTTATATTGAAATATTAATAGGTAATAATTAGATCGAATAAAAAAAATTAATCATATAAAAGTTAATATTTTTATTTTTCTTTAATTTTGAATATTTTATTATAAATACGCAATTTTTCAATTATAACAGGATTATAAATTTCTAATAAAAATTTCTTGCTATGCGAACACTGCTTAACTGTAATTTATCTATGATTGATAAAGTTGTTGAAAATATGATAACTTACAAATATGATTATAGTTTTCCAAATTCCAAAAAAGATTCTTCCATTCTAAATAATTTATTTACATGAAGCCTCTTCCTTTTCTTCTCCCCTCCCATCCCAAGAGATTACATATTCTGCATAGTAATAGTTTTTAGCAAAATTAACATGATTGCGCCGAGCTTTAAATGTCTACGTTATATACAAGGTGTTTCAAATATAGTTCTAAACTTTAAGAGCATATTCTACTCATCATAAGGATAAACAAAGTCATATATATATGGGTTAGAAAACTTTTCCTTTCCAAATTATAAACATTTTTTTATTTTATACTTATATTTATATTTTATTTTATACTTGTATCTATTTTTTCTTATACTTTTAATCAATATTTTCATTATAGAAATTGCTGGAAATGAATGATCCTTCCGCATCGATGCATGCTTCGCATCGACGTCGCATGGATTGTCGAAGACGTTCAAAAATTCACAGAGTATTTTGTATTTTTTTACATGCAGCAATAATACGATTTCAGAGTACTTCCACAGTAGAAACAGGAGTATTATACACAATATAACACAATATAAAATAAAAAATGATAATAACTTAGAATGAAAGCGTTTTCGAAACCATGTTTATATTTTTTTCCATCCCTACAATGACTGGAATATGCTTTTAAAATTTGACCAATCATTTTTGAAATTTTCAGTATATATATATATATATGTGTGCGTGCGTGCGTGCGTGCGTGCGTGCGTGCGTCTCTACAGGGTGAATCAGAGTCGTTGAACCAGCTTTTTACTCTATGCGAAAATTATTCACTATATACTTAATTGGATTATAATGTGTGCAGTTATAGTCGATAATTTTCTTTTAAGACTTCTGACTGGTCGCGGCGCTATTTTGGAATCGTGACGTCAGAAGCGAGGAATGACGTTAATTTATGTTGCTATTTTTAAATAAAGACAATTTGGAAGAAACGAAATGACGAGATCGCTTTAAAACATTTATAAAAATCGATGAAATCTGTCTTTTCCTCCCTTGACAGTCAGTAAATGGTCGTAAAAGGCATGCAAAGTGAGCCTATATTCGGACAGAAACACACGGTCCGACAGCTGTTGAAACGAAGTAAAATATACCCTTTTACATATAAAGTTTGAAGATAACTTTAGTTTTCATTGATAATTACGACTTTGATAATGAAACAAGTCACATTTTCACAATTAAGCAAATAATAACGAAATAGCACGCAACATAAATTTTGTCATCAAAACATCCCATTTCCACGCCTATAAGTTTGACTATTTATCGTGGTGCTGTAACACACATACCAGCACGAGCCCATGTCCATGGTTTTGTCTGCGGCGCGCTAAGAGTAAACGAGAAAGCGAGCTCCTTCTCACATTACCCTGCTTAAAAAATCCGATAGAATCAGATAGGAAAAATCTCTATCTGATTGAATCGTGTTTTTGGTTCGTAAATATCAGATTACTTACCTGAAATATCTGATAGACTTTTTATATTTCTCTATTCTTTTCGTCATATATTTATATTTTTATATGCAATTTTTTTTATTAATTACAATTATGTATCGGAAATTTACCATTTTTGAAAACGCATATTGGAATCGATGGGATTCGAATTTAAAACCTACGGGATGATAATCTAGCATTCTAACGTTGAGCTATAATCGCATGCTTGTCTGAGAATTTTAGCATGTGATAGTAGAGACAATGTTATTATAGAGACATTTCTGGATTAAGTTACATACATTCTTATAAACATATTGTATCACGTTTATCATATACCTTAAGTATCGTTTTTATCGTAATCTAAAATTTTAGATCATTTGCCTGATATAAATTTTCTATATTTTTCTATCATTTTCATCATATAGCTTAATTATCATTTTTAAACAATTTCTATCTGATCACGTTTTATGAAAATACTTTATCTAAAATATTTGATAAAGTTTCTATATTTCTGTATTATTTTCGTCAGATATCGTTTTCAATCAATTTCTATCTATGATTTCTATCCATCTCATACAGGGACTATGTTCTATCAAAATTAATAATATTCTTTCATGTTTTTGCTTTGTAAATTTTAGAATCTGAAATTTACAATTAAAGATATGATAGAATATTATTAATTTTGATAAAACACACGACTAAAATAACTGATTAAAACCGACATTTAAGTTGTATAATAAAAACGATACAGAAATAAAGAAAATATGTACTTTAAACGAGTTATCTGAAATTTACGATTCAAAAACATGATAGCATATTATTAAGATGGGAAACCACAGTAGAGCATGAAAAAGTAAGTATATTTTCGGGAATTTTTTTTGGCTCAATGAAATGATTAATCAAAAATTTGTAAAATAAGCATTATAATATTATGAATGAAGTACAAATAAGAATTTTTTCATACATTTTTGGTACAAAATGGCGGCTGTGCCGCACTTGTCCGATGGCGCCTATTTTTGAAGGAGGGACCATGGGCGGACATCTAGAGTCCTTAATTTTTGACCTGGAACAAAAAATGACAGTTTTTTAGGTTTTATATATCAATAGCTATAGAAGTACGTAGGATTTTTTCGATATATTAATTTTTCGCAAAATGGTGCACGTTTTAAGGAAAACTTGCAAATTTAACAAAAAAAAACGCCATAAAATTGTTGATAAAAAAAAAACATGTAATATAAAAAAAACTCTACGCACTTCCATAGAGAAAGGTATTCTGAATATACTGTCAAAATTTGAAACCGATCGGTAAAGATTTATTCGAGTTATGTGTCCGCCCAGTTTAAAAAAAGTGATTTCGAGAAAAACGCGTTTAAAGTTTTAAGTACTGTAAAATCATATAATATTTTTATATACCTCTAATCTGCGATGCCTGCGCCATACAATTGGCCTTCTTCATCTATCTCCTGCTCTTGTTTGGCCTTTTGAATTGTTTTCAGATCGATGCGGGCCTGTTTTGCGCCCTCACTCAAAGATCGTTCCGCTTTCTGTATGCGTTTCTCATCCAAGTCCATAGTTCGTGACTTTTTGGACCAATTTTTATGCCCATGACCTGGATTATATGTAAAATTGATATTAATCCGTCATTAAAAACACACGAAGCGATGTTCGTAGCAATGTCGATGATTATTTTGCCGGAATTCATAATTTTCGGAGCCATCGCCCACACTGTCGAATTGAAGCTTTCATTGCTGTTTTGAGTAAAACCCCCGATGCAGCGAGTGAGAAGATCATCCGTAGTGAGTTGTTCGTAAACTGGCTTAATTGCTTCATAAACTATATCAGACATTAGTGATTTGTGCGTATATAGTAGGTACCTGAGAGGCGTTGCCGCAGAATGGAAAATTTGGGTATTCCGAACTTTTTGCGGCACTCCATCTTTTGGTATGTTATTCTTAAGACCCTAAAGCACCTTATAAGCGAAAAAAAATTTTTTCGATTTTTTCAAACTTTTACTGTGGTTTCCCCCCTTAATTTTAATATAACATGACCAGATAGAAATAGACTCAAAACGGTAAGCTATACGATAGACAAATGCAGAAAATTTATTTAATATAGCAGGTAAGTAATCTGAAATTTACGATTAAAAATGATATTTAAGCTATATAATAAAAACGATATAATGTTTAAATAAGAAACTATACAAATTAAAACAGAATGTCCCTATATGTTAAAATAAGATAGATTTTATGGAAAAATTATCGTATTCTATAGGTGGTAACGTAATGTGACATTTAGTTTATTAAATAATTAATTACTCAATGACTTAAATGAATAATTAATTATATAACAACGGTGGAATAATTTTTTTACAACATCTACCTATTTAAACATATATATATAGGGACATTTTCAGATTAAATTGTATAGATTCGCATAAATCATCCTGTCACTTATTTTATATTAAATTAAAGAATGTGATAAAGAAGCTTGTATATACAAGTTACCTATTTTATCGTTTAACTATTAGGTGTACAAATAAGTTTCCGCCGTTTGACAAAAGACGGCGCCACTAGCAAGCTATGGTTAAAATTGTCTGATGTAAAACATTGTATCGTAAGGTTGGACATCTGTCAACATAATCTTGAAATACTAGCGATTTTGTATCAGCATCATATATTTTTTTTGTGCGAAAATGAGTTTTGAGTCGAATAAGCGTCATTTGCGGGAACTTTTGATTTACTTCTTTAATTTGAAGAAATCTGCAGCTGAGGCTCATCGATTGCTTGTATTATAGAAGCATGTGGTGAGGCTGCTTAAGTGAGAGAAGTTGTCGTGAATGGTTTCAAAAATTTAAGAACGGCGAATTTGACGTCGAAGACCAAGAACGTAGCGGAAGGCCTAAAGTGTACGAAGACGCGGAATTGGAAGCATTATTGAATGAAGATTCATGCCAAACGCAAAAAGTAGTGGCTAGCGGATGGACAATACTTTCAATAAAATATTATGTATCGTTCTTTCACAATATGCTTAATTTTTGATTAAAAACGGCGGAAACTTATTTGTACACCTAATATGATAAGATATAAAACGATATGTTAACTGTACAGCTTTATTATGTATGCTGAAATCTGCATAATAATTGTTCAATGATCTGAAGAATGTCATTTTATATTGTCAACGATAGGATACAATAATTTTTTTATAACATCTGTCTGTATTCAAACATATAGGAACATTTTTGGATTAAATTGTATAAGTTTATATAACATCTTTTCGTTTATTTCTTATTAAATTAG